ACAACAAAAGAATTGAAAAATCATCACTTGGAATGTATATGAATACGAGAAATATGTGGAATCAATTTCTTGTTTTTAATCTTCAATTCCGAGCATTGTTGCTTCAAGTTCTTGATGTTATTTGCCTTGGATTCTTTGCTAGGTTTGTTCTTCTCCTTCAATTGTGGTGAATTGGTTCCCCTTAATTGTATGATTTGCGAGTTATGAATGATATGAGAGACGTCAGAGAGGTCCCTTCTATGTTCACGTTGTGTATTTGAGATTGGAATTAGGTCAAGAATCACGTCAAAATTGGTTTCCAAAAGGAGTTTGCATCGCAGAAGGAAAGCTAGAGTTTCCCCGAATCATACACGATGCGATCGCATGGTAGGCGTTGTTTGGTCTCGAGTTAACCAAATTAAGGGGTTGCAATCGCAACCCTACAGCGTGCGATTGCACCCCCATATCTTCCAAAGTGTTCACTTTGGTCCTCTAGTTTCTTCTTCTGTTTTGATTGAATCCTTTGTTCGTGCAATTTCATCCTTTATCTTTTAATTGCACCCAATTGATTCCGTATGATTTTCAATTTGGATAATTACAATTAGGTTCTTGAACTTTGAAAATCTTTCTTTTTCGTCAGTTTTCGTTCATTTTTTTCCAATTGCTTCCAATCATCGAGTTTTACCTCACAATAAATATGGGATTTAACCATAATTATCAAAGTACTCTGTACTCCCACACATCCATATTTAATTGCCTAGATAAGTGCAAAAAAATGCACAATTTAGATTACATCAACCCTAACCGTAATGCAGACAAGATCATGATCCGCATTACTGTGTAGTTCCCATCATTCCTTGATATTACCGATGTAGAATGTGAAAGAAGAAGCGAAAGAGATAAAGAGGAGAGAAGTAGAAAGAGAGGGAAGAAAATTGGAGAAGTTTGGAAAGAAATTAGAGAAAATCAATATCGCTAAGTTTCACCAATGATTGTCTACAATTAAAAAAAAAAAAAAATTCCATTAAACTTGAAATGAGAATGAAAGTTATCAAAACATCAGAATTGTGTGATCCCATTTGCATCGTAACATGGTAGCGTCAGGAAAAGAACTAGTTGCTCCACTCAGTGCATATTTTGTGGTCGTTCAGTTGCGAAATTAACAGAGTAGGGCACAAGGAGGTGGATGGATTAGGTGGTTTATGACAATGAAGCTCAGAACAATGCGAAATAGGCATTCTGGTCAGGGAGGAACATAGGCAGAAGAAACTGAAGGCAGCAGACACTGAAGATCAATAAATGTGTGCTGATTTCCAGAGCACTTGAGTAAGATTCGGGTTGGATCAACTGTAGCAAGAATGGTGTGGTGGATTTTATTTTGATGGTGCATGGATGTTTGTTTCTGGTTACTGATGGTTTCAGGATGGTGTGCCATTAAGAGCACGTGTCAGTGAATCTATAGGGCGGGGCAGACCTATGACACCATCTCATTTTTTTGCTGATAAACATAAATTGGGACTTCTTTTAATGAATAGCACACATGATTTGAACAGTAGCTTTTTTTGACAGTAGGAACTGTACTGTGAACAGTGACCTTTTCTCGTCAAACAATTCCTAGAATTATAGGTATTATAGTCCTATTTAGTATACCTTGGACTTCCTAACAAAAATGGAAAGTTTTAAAAATAAAAAATTTCTGACTTACAACTAACAAATATGTTAAGAAAATAAGTCAAAATATATTCTTGTTTTTACACTTCAAAAAAGTGCATATTGTTGCAAGTATTTGATAAAATCTTTATGAATTATACTTGATATTTATCATACATAAATTTTTCTTTGTTGGGTACCGTAATGAACTTAAGTTTGCAGGTAATACTTGGAAGATCAACAGAGGATATCAATGTTGATATTGATTTAAGCAAAGAAGGACGTGCTAATAAAATATCTAGACGACAGGTGGGCTTGTTATCCTCTCTGATTTGAATGTGGAGACTGTTAGTAAGATTCAATATTAATGTGAAAATGGTTTACACTAATGGGTAGTTTTCCGTCTATAACATTATCGTATTTAGATTGTTTGTAAATGAGCGAAAGTAGTGTGTCTGATGTCCTTTCTGTGCAATGGTACGCCTACATCCATTAATTGGATTTTCTAAATAAACCTAATTGATAATAGGCGTTTTATTAGTGGTCTTCTCTTGCAATTATTAAAAATAATTCAGTTACTTACTTAGCCTGATAATTTTTCAAGTAATCACATATAAACTTTCCTTAAAATTGAAACCAGACTTTGATTCCAAGATAGAAGATTGATGATGATGCTGATTGGAAAAGGTTGGTGATAAGAACAATGTGAGGTTTACATGTATTACCTGAGCAGAGATGATAATAATAGTAAAACAAAAAAGAAAAAAAAATGTCAAATGGGTCCTACTATTATGACTACTCATTTTGGAGACAAAATAATTAGAAAAGCCAGTATATGGACATTCATTTTCAGCATATTGATATATTTTTAATTGATCGAACACTTAGCACATGCCAGTATCTTGCATCTATGTCCAGTCCATGTGTCCACGTAAGGAAGGTAGATCTGTGAACCAGCTCCCATGAGACTTGTTTGCAGACTTATTTTTCAATGTAAATATGAATGATCGAGCCAAAAAAGTGATTCGTCTGGAGTTACAAAACCTTCTAATGAGTTGGGAATGGCTTCAGCTCATTTGGCATTCCTTATTTTTAAGCTACCATGGCAATTTTTTTTCTCTTGTATGTCATTAGGCACTCATCCAAATGGAAGCGGATGGTTCTTTCTTTCTGAGAAATCTTGGTAAGAGTCCAGTCTCTGTGAATGGCGTTGCAATAGCTACTGGACAGTTGCTGACCCTTAGTTCCAGTTGTTTGATTGAGGTAATATTTCTGTTACACCTCTTGAATTTCTTAGTAGATGGGTTTCATTCTTAGTTACAATGATGTCGTTCCATTATATTATCTCTTATGAGAAAAACAATATGAGTCATTATATTTGTACAATGTACACAAACTTTTATGGATTAAACTGAGAGCAATTAATAACTTGAAATAAGAAAATCGAAAGCGACAATAACACACAATTTAATGTACTTCACTCTCAATGCGAGAGATGATGCACCTGATGCTACAGTAGACAAGTACGCAGATGCATTTCGAACCGGCCATCATCTGAAATTGTCTTTGTAAATAGGAAAATATGTGTGTATCAGGCATGTGCAAAAATATGTTTTTCAATTTTCTTTTGAATGCGCATTGTGCTTATATATTATGTTTATTTTCTTTGTTAAAGCAGCCTTTTTAGTTCATAGAATTGACTTCCACACATTTTTAGGGGTTACCCTCGTCTCACGACTTATGTTCATTATCAAGGACGACTTCACACACCCATAATGGTAGCTCGAGAAGTCGTCTACGCACACATAAATATACCTTTTACTACTGAGACTTTCAGTCTGAATTGGCCCTATCAAGTCTATATAATAATTTAAAACAGTGGGAGGTTGCAAGAAAGAGACCTCGTTTATGTCGAGTTCTAGTTTGTTTACATTTTTTACATGAAAACCGCACACCCCTTCAGGTTTTTCAGTGAGCTTAGGAAATCCTCTTATTGCAATGAGTTTGGTAAGTTTGACCAGGTCTCCATAGTTGAGGTGTCCTAACCGTTTGTGTCACAAGTCTTTAGGGTCCGTTTAATTGCAAATGTAGGAAATAGATGGAAAGAAAATGAATTTTAGAGAAAGTAATTGCCTATAACTTGTTTTGCAGGGAATTGTTAATTAAGTGTGTGTTATATAATTTTTCACCCGAAAAATGTTAAAATTTTGAATATTTTTGTGTTCGTTTGGCTTTGTTTCACATGGAAATTATTCATTAAAGTGATAATTTTTTCCACAATTGGTTATAAAATTTGTTTCCATTGCCGAAAGTAAAAAAAAAAAAAACCAAAAAACAAAAAAATTTCCTAGAAAATCATTTTTTCATCAAAGTTTAGTGTTCGTTTGGCTTTGTTTTATATGGAAATTTTTCATTAAAGTGAATTTTTTTTACAATTGATTATGAAATTTGTTTCCATTACT